TTAAAAGACAATTAACAGGGACTTTAGTGTCACAGTATTTCTCTTTAATGAATTTACTTAATTCCATATGTTTAGAGCAAAAAGAGGATAAAAGAAAATGGTTGTGGGATTTGAAGGGGGTTTCACAGTGAAATCTTATTATCTTTTTTTAATTGATGGAGGTCTGAGGTATGATTGTGCAGATATATGGAAGTTGCCTATTCCTTTGAAAGTGAAATTTCTTGTCTGGCTGGCTTTCAGGCATGGTTTGAACACAAAAGATGTGTTGGAAAAAAAAGGAATACATTTAGAAAAAATATGTTGTTTATGTTCAAAGCTGGAAGAAAGTCATACGCACTTATTCATTAAGTGTGAGTTTGTTTACTCTATATGGAGATCAATTCTGTTCAAGTTGAAAATTGAGGATGGTTTTAGTTGGAATTCTCTGAAAGAGATGTGGCATAATTTGAAAGCAGGAGAGATTGATAATGGCAAAATGAAAAGAGATGTCTTCATTTGTTCTTTTGTTTGATGTGTATGGCAGGAACGAAATGATAGACTTTTTTCTAATAAAAGGAAAAGATCTCTTGAGCTTTAGAACAAAATTATGACCTTCTCATCATTTTGTCTAGGTTCTAAAAATATCTCTGCTCGGGCTATCAGATTACAAGAAAGGAGGAGGAAAAGGAGTGCTGATAGAATGCAAGCTATTGGTGCAGATAGAAGAGAGAACTGAGCTATGGGAGATGAGGTGATCCAGCTAGAATGATGCACATTCAATTCAGGTGTTGTTTTGAGCTTATCTGGTGGTTGGGTTTTAAAACTTTGGTTAGTCGTGAAACTTTTAGTTTTTGGTTTTTGATCATGGTCTTCTTTTTGTGGGAGAGACCTATAGCTATATACAGACTTGTGCTGGGGTTTACTTTTGCTTTGTAATCTTGATCATGAACGTTAATACACACTCTTGGTTGGGGGTGTGTATGTTTCTTCTGTAACAACCTTTCTTTTGTTAATTTAGCTGGCTGGATTATCTTTGTGATAATCCATTCTTTTTTCTCAAAAAAACAAAAACAAATAATAATCATCTACTAAACAACCATATTTTAAAAATTATAGTCTCTTCACTAATTTTTAGTTATGGAGTGGATTCGAATCCAATTATTTGCATACATGCGAGTTGTCCTTGGAGGTATATCGATCCAAACCAAGTTGTTAGATGAAATATTAATGCAAACAATATGTATCAAAAATACAAACAAAAAAGTTGGTACAAACACCATATAAATAAGTGTAATCTTCAAATTTTAAGTTATGACCCATTGCATCAACAAAATTTGGGAGGCTTATTCATATTAGAGCTAAAAAATCTAAGGTGTGTCTGGCAACCCATGAAAAATTGGGTCATGATCAATTTTAAGCTAATTTTACTCTAAACTAATTTAAAGTTGAACCAAGATGAGGGTGGTCCAATAAAGATCATGTTAAAGGCCCTTTTAGGCTCAAGAAAAATCGGGCCAGTTCTGGCCCTTTCTTTCGAAACATGATTTTGCCAAAAATGAAGTCAAGACCAATCCTAGCCCCATTTTGATTTATTGCCAAACACACCCTTTAGGTGATTTCCTTGTCAAGACATTTCCCTTCTAACTTTGAGGTCATGGGAAAAACTCTCCAAAGTTCACGGGGCTATGTGGAATCTACATAGTTTAGAGCGGTGCAAATTCCCTGTATTAGGAGTTTTTTGAAATTCACCCAAAAATACAGGATAATTGACACTGTGGTGCTACAAAGTTGTCACTTTGAACACTTTGATCCAATTCATTTTTTAAATTGGATAATTTGAATTTTGGTTCTGTAAACTAAATAAAAGAAGATTTGGAGAATCATAGTAGGGTTTTTAGATATTCCTCTTTCAAATCACCCATAGTTCAATATAACTCCCTCAAATCATCATAATGGTTATTATCTTTCCTAAATCACATGAATGAGTTGAAATAGGCCACCCTAGTTATGCTTAAATTTTATGTTGGATTCACTATCATGCTCGTCCCTTATTCTGCCAAACCCGCTACCCTATTCCCCAATAACAGTCCTCTCCTCCGCATCAACCCTTTTTTGACTCGATAAAAGTCGTTGAAGAACCCGGAATCTCATACATTCTTCATTTCTTAGAGTTTCTCTTATAGTGTTTTCCGGTCTGCAATGGAGTTTTCAATTTTGAACTTCTCTTCTAATAGAAATGATGGTGTTTGAACTACTATGAGGTGTTTTCATGGGTTGTAATGCAAGATTAGAACATGCAGCCATGAGAGAACAAACGACTCTACTTCTATGGCTATTCAAGATATAAGAGTTCACCATTCAAGAGTTGCGAGTATTTTGCTTGGATTGATGGCAAAATTATAACTTGCACAACGCTAGTTACCCTTAACCTAACTCAAGTTGGATTATTTGAACGGTTATACTAATAAAGGAATCTATTTCAACTAGCTCATATGATTTCTGGTAGGTAAAAGCTATTATGATGATTTAAAAGAGGTATATCAAGATGCAGGTGATTTAAGAGAGGAATACTTGAAAAACCCCAGACTTCTACCGAGTCAAAAGAAGAAGATCAAGAAGACAACAACTTTATGAGGTGTTTTCATGGGTTACAATGCAAGATTAGAACATGCAGCCATGAGAGAAACAAACGACTCTACTTCCATGGCTATTCAAGATATAAGAGTTCACCATTCAAGAGTTGCGAGTATTTTGCTTGGATTGATGTCAACAAAAAATTAACGGCAAAAAGGTCAAAAGAAATCAATTTGTTTGGGAAGAAGTTTGATGCGGTGTTGTTCTTGATGAAAATCCTTTTAGTTGTGTTAGGAGTTTTGAATTTATGTGAAATGTTAGTTGTTCGTCAAAGTTTATGACTTTTAAGCAATGAAAATAGATGTATTTTGACTCCCATGGCAAAATTATAACTTGCACAACCCTAGTTACCCTTAACCTAACCCAAGTTGGATTATTTGAACGGTTATACTAATAAAGGAAGCTATTTCAACTAGCTCATATGATTTCTGGTAGGTAAAAGCTATTATGATGATTTAAAAGAGGCATATCAAGATGCATGTGATTTGAGGGAGGAATACTTGGAAAACCCCAGACTTCTACCGAGTCAAAAGAAGAAGATCAAGAAGACAGCAACTTTATGAGGTGTTTTCATGGGTTGCAATGAAAGATTAGAACATGCAGCCATGAGAGAAACAAACGACTCTACTTCCATGGCTATTCAAGATATAAGAGTTCACCATTCAAGAGTTGCGAGTATTTTGCTTGGATTGATGTCAACAAAAAATTAACGGCAAAAAGGTCAAAAGAAATCAATTTGTTTGGGAAGAAGTTTGATGCGGTGTTGTTCTTGATGAAAATCCTTTTAGTTGTGTTAGGAGTTTTGAATTTATGTGAAATGTTAGTTGTTCGTCAAAGTTTATGACTTTTAAGCAATGAAAATAGATGTATTTTGACTCCCATGGCAAAATTATAACTTGCACAACCCTAGTTACCCTTAACCTAACCCAAGTTGGATTATTTGAACGGTTATACTAATAAAGGAAGCTATTTCAACTAGCTCATATGATTTCTGGTAGGTAAAAGCTATTATGATGATTTAAAAGAGGCATATCAAGATGCATGTGATTTGAGGGAGGAATACTTGGAAAACCCCAGACTTCTACCGAGTCAAAAGAAGAAGATCAAGAAGATGACAACTTTATGAGGTGTTTTCATGGGTTGCAATGCAAGATTAGAACATGCAGCCATGAGAGAAACAAATGACTCTACTTCTATGGCTATTCAAGATATAAGAGTTCACCATTCAAGAGTTGCGAGTATTTTGCTTGGGTTGATGTCAACAAAAAATTAACGGCGAAAAGGTCAAAAGAAATCAATTTGTTTGGGAAGAAGTTTGATGCGGTGTTGTTCTTGATGAAAATCCTTTTAGTTGTGTTAGGAGTTTTGAATTTATGTGAAATGTTAGTTGTTCGTCAAAGTTTATGACTTTTAAGCAATGAAAATAGATGTATTTTGACTCCCATGGCAAAATTATAACTTGCACAACCCTAGTTACCCTTAACCTAACCCAAGTTGGATTATTTGAACGGTTATACTAATAAAGGAAGCTATTTCAACTAGCTCATATGATTTCTGGTTGGTAAAAGCTATTATGATGATTTAAAAGAGGCATATCAAGATGCATGTGATTTGAGGGAGGAATACTTGGAAAACCCCAGACTTCTACCGAGTCAAAAGAAGAAGATCAAGAAGACAGCAACTTTATGAGGTGTTTTCATGGGTTGCAATGAAAGATTAGAACATGCAGCCATGAGAGAAACAAACGACTCTACTTCTATGGCTATTCAAGATATAAGAGTTCACCATTCAAGAGTTGCGAGTATTTTGCTTGGGTTGATGTCAACAAAAAATTAACGGCGAAAAGGTCAAAAGAAATCAATTTGTTTGGGAAGAAGTTTGATGCAGTGTTGTTCTTGATGAAAATCCTTTTAGTTATGTTAGGAGTTTTGAATTTATGTGAAATGTTAGTTGTTCGTCAAAGTTTATGACTTTTAAGCAATGAAAATAGATGTATTTTGACTCCCATGGCAAAATTATAACTTGCACAACCCTAGTTACCCTTAACCTAACCCAAGTTGGATTATTTGAACGGTTATACTAATAAAGGAAGCTATTTCAACTAGCTCATATGATTTCTGGTAGGTAAAAGCTATTATGATGATTTAAAAGAGGTATATCAAGATGCAAGTGATTTGAGGGAGGAATACTTGAAAAACCCCAGACTTCTACAACTATATGATTTCCAAATGTTAAAACGTGGTCCCAATTGAAGCCCATTGCGCAACAAGGGCCCAATAATCTAAAACAAATTTCGGGTACGGATCAAGGGAACGCGGGTCGGGTTATCGAACACAGAACCCAAATGCCCGAAACCGTACTTTTCTTCTCGCTAGGGTTTATCTATTTAACAACAAAAACCGCAACAGGCCGCCTCTCACCCTCGATCCCCTTTTCTCAGGTACCTTCTTCTCCGATACCTCATTGATTCAAAAATCAAATCTTTTCCATTTAAATTTTATTTTTTCAATCAATCAATTTTCAATCTTTTTCCCTTTTGTTATTGTTGAAATTAGGGCACAAACAGTTGCGACGGAGTGGTCTCCTGAAAGTTGAGAATCATGAGGTATTGGATCTTTACCTTAATCTCTTACATTTTTATTGATTTTTTAGGTTTTCCAAAACGTGTTAAGTTGGAGAAATTAAAATTTATTTTTGACCCAGATTGTAATCAGATAATGCGGGAATCATTTGATCTTATAATCTGTGATTATTTGTGTGAAGCTCACTGTGTGCATTAGACGTTAATAGAGGAACCCCATATCATGAAATAAAGAAATTTGCAGCTCTGTTGACCTTGCTTAGATCGAAAAAGATAGAAAAAAGCATGTTACCTACGAATGCCCAATTTATGTTTTGCCCTTTTGCAGTAAGTTGCAGAGTGACGTTCTAAGAGAGGGCATCTCCAAGATAGTTGCTGATGCTCGCGAGAAGAATCGTAAGTTCACTGAGACCATTGAGCTCCAGATTGGACTCAAGAATTATGATCCTCAGAAGGACAAGCGATTCAGTGGGTCAGTGAAGCTACCGCATATCCCACGTCCGAAAATGAAAGTCTGCATGCTTGGAGATGCTCAGCATGTTGAAGAGGTACATTGATTAATAATATTTTTTTTGCAAAAGCTATACATTACTTGTTGCAAGTTTATGATGTCCACCAATGTGGATTGTTGTGTATAATTACTCCACATGTTGGATAGGTATATTGACTTGTTATATATATATATATATATATATATATATATATATATATATATATATATATATATATATATATATATATATATATATATATATATATATATATATATATATATATATATATATATATATATATATATATATATATATATATATATATATATATATATATATATATATATATATGAGAAATATATAATATATATATAGGGAGAGGTTCTAATAAAAACCTCCTTAGCCTAAAAACTAAAAACCTCCTTCATCCACTGGATCTAGATGAATCCAATGGTTGGGATTCAGTCAAACAGTCAACAGACACATGCATTAATTACCTCATTAATTACCTCAACATAGTGAATCCAGATTCACTACCTCAACGTATCTCGAATCACTGCAGTGAATCCAGATTCACTACAGTGAATCTGGATTCACTGCATTGATGTAATTAATGTATGTGTTTAATGAGGTAATTAATGCATTGTGTCTGTTGACTGTTTGACTGAATCCTAGCCATTGGATGAAGGAGGTTTTTAGTTTTTAGGCTAAGGAGGTTTTTATTAGAACATCTCCATATATATATATATATATATATATACCAACTGTGACGCCCCTGTTTTCACACTTGGCTGCAGTCCAAGGTGAACCCAGAGATGTCAAACCTGTCATGCACCTCCACTATGCAACATGTTTCACCAATCACACTAATATCCTTTAGTGGAAACCAATATAAATGAAGGTACAAAACAGGCAAATAAGGGAAATAAATACTATAGACATGATACGGAAATATATATCTCATAAATGAAATCATGTCCCAAATAAACTAAACTAGAATACAACTGATATACATCTGGAGTCTAAAATAACATGATATGTCTCAACATGAATCGATTAGAAATCGTACTAAGGCATATTGCCTTAACAATATGAGTACAAACTCAAATGACTAAATGGAAACATAAGATCACTGTGGAGTCCATACTAGTAAAAATACGTGACGGCGACTATGCAAGAACTCCGTCACCCTGCGACTCTCCGATGCTCTGAGCCACCTGAAATGAGAAAAAAAAACAACAACAAGAGCGTCAGAACGCTACAGCAAGTTCACCTCCATCCGCCTCCAGGGGAAGGGTTGCTAGATGATGAAGTGGAGGCTCTATCTATTAAGCATAGTCTACCCAGGTCATTTTCCCTATATCTAATGGAATTAATATTTAGAAACTTACAACTTGAGACGTAGTACGTCGAGCGAAATAATCCAAACAAGAAAACCCTCATGTATATATCGTATGTTTCAGATAGTAAATAACTAAATATTAACCCTGAACTAAGCAATCAAAATATAACTGGAAAGTAAAGCATCATAATAGACAACAGCATATGTATCTCGTGTACTCGTATAGCAAAGTATCTCAATAATGAGTAGAAACACTTTTGGCATCCGCCAAATACTCATGTAAATAGTTTATAATATTATCATTCTGAACTTCTTCCAACTCATCGCATCATCGCGCGGATCGACAAATAGGTATCATCGCATCATAGTGCGGATCGACAAATAGGTATCATCGCATCACCGTGCGGATCGACAAATATATATTATCGCATCATAGTGCAGATCGACAAATAGGTATCATCGCATCACCGTGCGGATCGACAAATAGGTATCATCGCAGTCTCATTTGCGGTGTATTAACTCACAAGTAAATAGATTTTAATTTGTCATAATCCCCGTGGGATACTCAAATGCTTATTTCGTCATTTTCATGATTGTAAGTATATCGCGTCACAAAACGGCGCAAACAAACTCCAGAAAATAAAACTGGGCCAAACTGTCCAGTAAATGGTCAGGATTATCAACCTCGACTATCTGCTGTATTAACTAATTGTGAATAGTATCAGTACTTACTAATAGCAACAGTACTTTACGACTAGTATCCGTACTCATGAATAGTAACAGTACATATGAATAGTACAGTATCCGTACTCATGAATAGTAACAGTACATATGAATAGTACCGTATGCATGAATAGTAACGGTATGTCTAAATAGTACCCATACGTATGAATAGTGTCAGTACTTATGAATAGTGTCGTATGTATGAACAATAATAGTACGTATGAATAGTACCCCCATTATGCATGAATAGTAATAGTACTTACGAATAGTACCGTACGTATGAACAGTACGGTATTTATGAATAGTACCACAGTATGTATGAATAGTAACAGGATTTATGAATAGTAATGGTATTTATGAATAGTGTCATACGTATGGATAGTACCATATGTATGAATAGTACCATACGTATAAAAAAATAGTAATAGTATTTCCAGCGATAGACATGTATGTATAGTTCTAGCTAGCAATATCATGTCTTTAGGAATTTGGTCTTATATTCTATTCATCAATTTTCATCAATATCAAGTTTTTTCTTCAATCTCATGTATATTCATCAATTTTTATCAATATCATGTCTTTTCATCAATAATCATGTCTTTTCATCAATATCATGTATATTCATCAAGATCAAAATTTACTAGGGATGAGTTTGGAAAGAGATGAACTTGTCTTTATTGATCTCTGAAATTGGAATCCTTATCCATTCCTGTTTTTTGAATTGACAAAATCCCTTCCCTCTTTTCCTCTCTTTTCTTCCTCACTGTTTCTCTCTCTCTCCCTCTCTTTCTCTTTCTCTCTCTTCTTTCTTTCTCTTTCTCTCTCTTCTTTCTCTCTTTCGTGAGTGTGCAGAGAGCTTCCTCCCCTCCCCTTTTTATATAAAAAAATAATAATAAAAAATATAAATGGTTGGTGGCACAGGGTAGGGTTGGTGGCACAGGGTTAGGAAAAATAATTTATATAATAATATTATATTATTTAAAAATATGATTTCAGAGTTCATTTCTAGAAAGCAATGAAAATTTATCCACAGGACCGTCTCAACATTCTACGATCAATGGTGTAATCTTCATATTCATCTGATCAACAGAAAAATTATTAAAAATATAAATATGACAAATGCTAACGGACTTGATACCGTCTCAAAATAGTATTTCAGTCTCCGTTATCAAAACATAACGAGACTTTAACCACAGCACAGTCTAGGCATTCTAAGATCAATGGCATAAATTTCATGCCCATTTGATCAATAGAAAAAATTACTAAAAATAAAATAGTATCAGGTTTCAGTAGACTCGCGATACCGAGGCTGAAACTGCGAATCGATTTCAAATCGATTCCAATCTGATCTATTCATCCCAGAATGATCACCAATCATAATAAAACTCATTTATTATCATTTATAATAATATTTTTAAAATTTTTGGGGTTTTACATTCTTCCCCCCTTAAAAGAATTCCGTCCTCGAAATTCCGCAATCGCATCTTAGAGATTAATAATATGAGAAAAGCACATTGAGGGAATAATCCAGACACCAGCTATTACAAGAAGTTCATTCAGGACTTCTCGAAGATTGTGACGCCACTTTCACGCCTTACGAAGAAGGGTGTACAGTTTATTTGGGTCACAGAGTGTCAGAAAGCTTTTGAGACATTAAAGACAAAGTTAACTATAACACCGATTCTGACTATTCCGAGCAGTGATAGGACATTTGTTGTCTACACAGATGCGTCATTAGCAGGCCTAGGAGGTGTTTTGATGCAGACCCAGAGAGTAGTAGCTTATACCTCTCGACAGTTAAGGACGCATGAGCAGAACTATCCCACGCACGACTTGGAGTTAGCAGCAGTGGTCTTCGCACTGAAGACATGGAGACATTACCTGTACGGGGTGCAATTCGAGTTATTCACAGACCACCAGAATCTGAAATACCTATTTTCTCAGAAGGAACTCAACCAGAGGCAGCGACGATGAGTCGAGTTCATCAAGGATTACGAGTTCGCGATTCAGTATCATCTGGGGAAGGCGAACGTCGTGGCTGATGCTTTGAGCAGGAAGCGTCGACATCGAGTTGTGGCTTTGAGGTGTTCGTTGTACCGAGATCTTTACACTCTTAGCCAGTTTGATTTCAGGCCAGAGATCGGCGGCAGCAACACATTTTTGGGAGCTATGTCAGTGCAGTCATCTTGGAGTAATAGAGTGGTCAAAAATCAGCTAGTGGACTCTTAGATTCAAACCCGAAAGGAGGAGATTTCCAAGAAACCCAAAGCTGATTGGATCGTTAGAATAGACGGAGGTCTTCGAATGAAAGGCAGATTAGTTATGCCAGCTAGTAAAGAACTGAAGAAGGAATTTCTTGATGAGGCGCATCGTTCTAGGTACACAGTGCATCCAGGCACAATAAAGATGTACAAGGACCTGAAGAGACACTTTTGGTGGAGCGGTATGCGTAAGGAGATAGCAGAATATATCGTTAGATGCTTTACCTGTCAGCAGGTGAAGGCAGAACATCAAAGACCAGCAGGAACCCTACAACCTTTACCCATTCCGGAATGAAAATGGATGGGTATCTCTATGGATTTTATTATGGGGTTACCGAGGTCAAAGAAAGGGAACGATTCCGTTTGGGTGATAGTTAATCGGTTGACGAAGTCAGCACATTTTATACCAGTGAGGACTACATACATCGCCGAGACTTATGCGAGGATCTTTATTCAGGAGATAGTTCGACTGGACGGAGTTCCAGAGACGATCGTGTCGGATTGAGGCTCAGTTTTCATTTCGCATTTTTGGAGGAGCTTTCAAGATTCGTTCGGCAGCAGATTATCATACAGCAGTGTATTTTACCCGCAACAGATGGGCAGACGGAGAGAGTAAACCAAGTCTTGGAGGACATGTTGCGGGCTTGCATTTTAGACTTCCAAGGCAGCTGGGAGGACCACATACCTTTGATCGAGTTCGCTTATAACAACAGTTATCAAGCGACGAT